CACCCTTGCCTGGCCTTCCTTCTCCCCGCCCGCCCTCCTCCACCATTCCCTGGCCTTCCTACCGAGCTATCTCCCGCCCTCCTCCACCCTTGCCTGGCCTTCCTTCTCCCCGAGGAACCTTGGAAAATCTTGGACACGTCTAAATGTCAGTCAGTCAGCTACGGTGGTGGATGCACGTGATAACGTAGATTGACTCGCAGGCGGCCGAACGAAGGCGGAAGTATCTATATAATAATTTGAGTAGTGTCGTTCTGTTTGTTCCTGCATAACTTATAGGCGCGTGCACGAATCTAGCTGAAAATTTTTCGTGCTTCATTCCTACGCATCAGGTTCGATTCTAACACTTTGCTTTTTGTTATTTATTGGGTTTAATGTTTAAAAAACCATATTTAGAAAATCTATTGGAAAATCTCCCTGGAAAACATGCACGATTCAGTTCACTTCCGCTAGGTGCGCTGGCGTAAACTTACAAACACCATAGATATATCTATGCAAATACCCAACGACAGACTGATTCACAGACTATAATGAATACAGTAGTCTATGACGTAAATGTACAGTGGTTACGCTGGGCACACGCAATGGCTGCAGTATCAAGTCCTCCCCCACCACATTGCTCGTGCTAAGCCCATACCATGTTTATATACATATATATACCCATATGTATATATATATATTACAGATAGAAATCGTGTCTTCACTGAGTTCTTCGCAATCACGCGCTCACTGCGTGAGTGTGTTTATATACATATATATACATATATGTATATATATATATTACAGATAGAAATCGTGTCTTCACTGAGTTCTTCGCAATCACGCGCTCACTGCGTGAGTGCGTATAATGTGATAGTGTATATATCACGCACTATCACGTGCCTTCAGCCCGCAATAGCAGTGACTTCAGCACCCGAGTGACCAGCACCTATTAGCATTTAATCTCAGCAATTGACCAGCATCCAGTGTCCATGATTAACCACCACACGTCATCTCTCCTATCACTGCAGCTCACCCGCACCAGATCCCCTCCCTCCCCCAAGGTTAAACCGCAACGTAGTAAGGCGGAAAGCCATCCAAGAGATTCCTTCCTACGTTGGAGTGAGAATCGACCCGGGATCGCATTCGGAAAGAGATTGGCACCCTGCACTGGTGTTGTTCGATCAGCCGTGCAATTCGACGCGCAATTTATATCTGCGTCTGAATCAGCTTTCAGCTAGAGGCCTGGACACGACAGCTAGAAGGAAACCCGGGATATATCATCGCCAACTTCAACGAGATGCTCATGCGTTATTCGTCACGTGTATATATTATGAGGGATAGCTAGCGAGACGACTATATCGGTGGGGCGCGCTCATACGACGTCTCTCCCTACATTGGTCAGCAGCCGATATAGCGAGCACAGCGCCACCTACCTGTCCAGGGGCATCCATATATCTCCACTCTCATGCAGACGGTGCGTTTGTATTCGCTGAATGGGATGATGCGCAGCTTGCTGGCTGTTATGGGCGGATCTACCTCGCGGCTGACGCCTATGTACGTGTTAGAGTTGCCCGGAAACAGCTGCAAAAGAAGAGAAAAGACTGTGTCAATACCTGACAGTCACTCATAGAATCTCCTTCCTTACGCCTCCGGGATACCCCTCTCCCACAATACCCCTCGATGTGTTTATTTATTTATGTAGTTGTCTGTTTGTGTGATTTTATTTGTTCATGTAGGAGTTTACATTATTTGTACATTACATTACATGTACTTACATTACATTACATTACATTACATGTACTTACATTACATTACATGTACTTGTAGCTGTACGCACATGCACGATCTGTGTGCGCGTACGTGTGCCTGTACGACTGACCCAATACACTGCGAGCTCAGGCGAGCTCAGGCTAAGAAAACCCTTACCCTGACAACTCACGATAACCTCACGTTCAGGACTATCTTCCCGGACGCGCTGGAGTCTTTCCGAGCGCACGCACAAAAGCTCCTCCGTTTGCGACGCGTACAATAGGCAATCGCTTTAATGTAAATGACTTTGGTGAACTTTAGATGCACAAGAGTAATGAAGAGAGCGATTTATATACGAGAAAATTTCATAATCATCGCGATTGAAGTCGCTGCGACGCCGTCGACAATTTTACACATGAAAAACAGATAATCCCACTTCATCACAGTGCTAAATATCCGTGAGCGCATTCGATACTGACCTTGCATGGATGCGCGAAGGTTACACACATGCACACGCACGGGCACGCACTCACGCACGCGCACGCACGAGCACGCACGCGCGCGCTCTGCACACATACAACATTTGCATGTGATTCGCGGCTTAACAAAACTCTACACGTCTCAGAACATAACCTCTGACTTGACGATGCCAGCGCTCTCTACTATTGCCTCAGACACACGACAGACCAGCGACGTACACAAACGACGCGTTGACAGCGTTGCCATGTAAACAAGTGGACAATGGCAAGCCGACCACTGAAGCTATTGTAAATTCCACGCGCTTCTCAAATTGATCACGGATCCAGGAATTCGCCTTCACACACAGTCGCGCGAGTCAATCGACCATTCAGCCCCCCCCTCCCCCCGTTCATCTCTCGCAGCTTCCTCGCAGCTTCCTCGACTTTTTCTACGCGATAAGAGAGTGAAAGCGAGAGACGGCGGAATCAGACCGCAGCTATTGAGTGCCTCCCACGAGACCGCTCGCTGTCTGAGACCCATCTCAATCTCACTCGCTGACAAGTCTGATCGGTACTGGCTAATCGGCTGCCGAACTATTTAAAATGTCAAAAGCCCACGGATTGATCAATAGCGGGGATTCATCGGCAAATAATAGCTTGTCGGGGTTTCAATTTGATCACGAATAATCGGCTGGGGACAGATGGGGAGTTCTGATGAAAGCTAAGACGTTTATACACGCGCGCGCGCGCGCGAAAGAGAGAGACCGCAATGAGTGGGTGTCGCTCGCACGCATGTATGTGCGCGCGTGCGTGCGCGTACATCTTGTGTGTATGTGCGCGTGCGTGTGGGTGGGTGCGCGTACATCTTGTGTGTATGTGCGCGTGCGTGCACGTGCATCCTTGTGTGTATGCGCGCGTGCGTGTGGGTGGGTGCGCGTGCATCCTTGTTTGTATGCGCGCGTGCGTGTGGGTGGGTGCGCGTACATCTTGTGTGTATGTGCGCGTGCGTGTGGGTGGGTGCGCGTGCATCCTTGTGTGTATGTGCGCGTGCGTGTGGGTGGGTGCGCGTGCATCCTTGTGTGTATGGGTGCGGTGTCGTGTCGTTGCGTGGGTGCGCCGTAGCATCCTTTTGTGTGCTTCGTTGCGCGTGCATGTGATGGCGCGCGTATCCGTGTGTGTGTATGTGCTCGTTGCGCGTGCGTCCGTGCGCTTCGCCCGTACAGTCCTTGTGTGGTATGCGGCTGCGTGCGTGTGGTGCGTTGCGCTGGCATCCTCTGCGTATATGCTGGCCGTGCGTGGTGCGTGGGTTGCGCTTGCCATCTTGCGTGTATGTGCCTCGGTGCTGTGGTCGGGTTGCGCGTTGCCATTCTTTGTGTATGCGCGCGTGCGCGCGTGTCGTGTGGGTTGCGTGCCCTGTACACCCTTGCTGTGTATGCGCGCGCTCGCAGTGGTGCGTGGTTGCGGCGCGTGCCATCCTTGCACGTGTATCGTCGCGCGTGCGCTGTGGAGTGGCCAGTCGCGCTGTGCATCCTTGTGTGTATCGTGCGCGTTGCGCTGCTGCATCCTTGTGTGTTATGCTGGCGCGTGCGTGTGGTGGCTTCTGTGCGCAGTGCATCATTGTTATGTATGCTGCGCGTGGTGTTGGCGTGCGTTGCGCGTGCATCCTTTTGTGTCAATGTGCGCGTGCGTGTGGGTGGCGCCGCAGTGCCCATCTTGTGTAAATGTGCGCGCTGCATCCTTGTGTGTGTCGTGCGCGTGTGTGTGGCGGTGGGTGCGCGTGCAACCTTGTGTGTCATGTGTATGTGCGCGCTGCGTCTATGTTGGGTGGAAGTGCGCGTGCATTCCTTGTGTGTATCGTGTGCGCGTGCGGGGTGTGGCGTGGTTCGTGCGCTTGGGCATCCTTGTGTGTATTGTGCGCCGTGCCGTCTTGTTGGGTGCCGCAGTTGCCGCGTGCATTCCTCTGTGTGTATCGTGGCGCTGGTGCGTGTGAGTGGCGGTCGCGCGTGCATCCTTGATGTGTATGTGCGCGTTGCGTGTGGGTGGCCGTGCGCGTGATGCCTTCGTGTGTATGTTGCGCGCTGCGTCGTGCGGTGGGTGCGCGCTGCAATCCTTGTGTGTAATGTGCGGTGCGTGACGGGTCGTTGGGTGGGTGCGCGTGCATCCTTGTGTGTATGGGTGCGTGTGATAGCAAACAGCCCCGTAAGAACGGAGATGCCCTTCACTCCGCCGCAGGCCTGCGCGCTCCCTGCGGCGGAGCGAAGGGCTATCGTACTAGAGCTAGGACGTGGCCCATCTCCCATAGGATGTCTGCAGGCCACCGGACTGTCTTACAGTATATGCCCCCCTCCCTCTACCCGCCGATGTTTGCTCTGCAGGACCATCAAAACTACCCGAGAGGGACGTTCAATGTGAGTGCATGGGTTCAGTTCGGCTGTGCCTCTCACCGACACACGCTCGCAGCACTGACTGGTTGTACTCAAGCAGACGTTGATAGCGCGGTGAAAGGAAAAGCAAACACGAATACAATAGCAAGTGCATATATCTTGATGTAACCAGCGAGAGAGAGAGAGAGAGAGAAAGAGAGAGAGAGCGAGAGAGAGAGAGAGAGAGAGAGAGAGCGAGAGAGGGAGAGAGAGGGAGAGAGGGGAAGGAGAGCGAGAGCGAGGACAGATAGTAGGCATATGAGATAGGAGAGCGAGAGAGGAGAGAGAGGAGAGAGAGAGAGAGAGCGGAGAGAGAGATGAGACGGAAGAGAGAGGAGGCGAGAGCAGAAGGAGATCGCTCCACTATCAAGACGAGAGAAGACGAGAGCGAGAGAGAGAGAGACCAGAGACAAGACGATCAGAGGGCAGCGAGGAGAGAGGCTGAGAGAGAGAGAGAGAGAGAGGAGAGAAGAGAAGAGAACGACGGAGAGAGCCGAGAGCGGGAGAGAGGGGAAAGGAAAGCGAGAGCGATGAGAGACAGATAGAGATAGACGATAGAGAGCGAGAGAGAGCCAGAGAGCTACGAGAAGAGAGAGCAGAGAGATGCAGAGAGAGAGGACGAGAGAGATGAGCAGACGAGAGAGAAAGACGAGCAGGAGAGAGAGAGACAGAGCAGAGAGAGAGAGCGCAGCCAGAGGAT